TTTTTTTTTTTTTGGTACCAGGGATCGAACTCGGGACCTTGTACTTGTGAGGCAGGAGGCAAAACAACTGAGCTAAATCCCTGGCCTGTTCGCTTTTTTAAAAAAGTCAAAATTGCAGTTAATTCCTAATTAATGATACATTTTCCTTTATAGGAGAACACCATCAAGTGTAGAAGAAATAGTAAGTTAGAAAAACATAATTTTGTAACACTCAGTAAAATAACTGACTCAACCAAGAATAATTTGCACATGCTAACACTTCTAAGTAAAAGGGCTGAGGGACAAGAATACTTAAATAACAGTAAAATATCTTCTCATTTTCTACAGGTTTCATAATTTTCTTAAAGTTGAATGAAATATGGTGAAGTCTTAAGTACAAAGAGAAAAGAGGAAACAGCCACAAAACTATAGAAGTTGGAAAGAAAATGGGCAAGATGACTTACAAAAGTGGAGAAAGCAATATCCTATGCCAGCAATGGAGAAAGCCAAGAAACAAATGCTTTATTTAGCTCTTAAAAAGCTAGGATTGGTGGTACTAGATACCGTTGGAAATTGGAAATACAAAAATGTTCAACATTCTGTTTATGAAGCAGTTCGACCTCATAGATATCTATTCCCACTCCACAAAACAGATGGATCAAGTTATTCTAAAGTGAGGAAGTGGAAGGCAAAACATAGCAAAATCCTCATTTTCCTTATGAAGAAATGAGCAATGATACAGAAAATTAAAGAAAAAATTAAAAGTCATAGCATTAACGTGGTTATGGACATGGAGGTAAAGACTAAGATCAGTAAGAGCTGAAGCAACAGTAATGGGGAGAGGGGTGTGGAATTAACTGTAGTTTCTTTCATCATATCTGTCTCTTTAAATCATATGTATATATGACTTTGATGTAAGTTGAAGTAAAAAGAATAATGGTAATAATAAAAAGAGATATACTTCATACTATGTAGTATGTTTACTCTGTGGACCATCCGTGATAAATGTACAGAGCATTACTCTCACAAAAATAATATTTGCTCTCATAAAATATAAATTATTGCATATATTTTTCAAACTAATGCCATTTGAACTAATAAATGACAAAATAAATATGACAAAAATTGTAACATCCTGATTCCCTAATCTTATAAATATATGACTCATGATTACATAATTCTTGTTTAAAAATTTACAACAGGGCCGGGGATTTAGCTCAGTGGTTCCGGCACCTGCCTTGCAAGTGCAAGGTCCCAAGTTTGATCCCCGGTACCAAAAAAAAAAAAAATTTACAACAGTCACAAAATAACTGCTGGAAAAAATCTCTCCAGCAACCATTATGTGCTAAAAGTATAATAAGCATTGCACTACAAAATTAAAGATAAAATCTATATTAATAAGCTCACAGTCTAAAGGAGACCAGTAAAAAATAATTAAAATATAACTGGTACTATATGATAATTTGTTGTATTTATCTAACTACACAACATTATTTTGGGTGTTATTATATATTGGTTAAAAAGCCGAGGTCTAGAGGTAGATGTTTAATGTTCAAAGGTCATGTCCATCACTGACTTAACTGTGGAGGTTTGGACAAATTACAAAATCTGCGATCACTGTCTTCTGCCAGCAACCACTAAACAGAAACAACATGCTAACTTATTAGCTTGTAAGTGGCATAAAATCATATCTCAGACTTGACAAAAATGGTAACTCTACATCCAACTTTCCTAATGTGAATGATCTAAATACTCCAAATAAAAGGCAAAGCTTATCAAAACAAATAAAAAAGCAAGATTCAATTATATGCTAACTACAAGGAGATCCACTTCAAATCTAAACAACAAGTATGCTGAAATATAAAAATATAAACATACACAATTAATATGCATAAGAAGACTTGACAATAACTTTAAAGAAAGCATCAAGATGAGAAATAATATTAGAAATGAAAAGGGATACTTTTTAAAAATAGAAGCATTAAAAAAAATAGAAGCATTAATTCATCAGGAAAACACAAAATAAATTCATGTGTACCTAATAACAGAGATTCAAAATACATGAGTGAAAACCTGCAGAACAGAAAGGAGAAAAAAAAATTTTAATTCTTCTCTCTCAGAAACTGTAAAGCAACCCAAGATGGAGAACACCTGAGGAATACCTTAAGTAGACTTACTGATATTTACAGAATACTACATTCGATATGTAGAATTAAATATATATAATCAGAAAATACAAATTATATCACAGCAAGATACTGCTATATTTTCACCAAAATGAAAACATACTGACAATGGCAACACTAGCAAGGATACGAGGCGACTGGACTGTCAGTAAAAGGGTACAGTCACTCTGGAAAAAGACTTGGCGGCTCTTTTTTATAAATTTAGACCTTTACTTATTTCAAAATCCAAAACTTCCACTCCGACATATTTGTCCAAGAGAAATGCAAATATAAGTACAAAAAAGGACTAGATACAAATATTCCTTGAAATTTTATTTATAACAACCCAAAACTAGAAAAACTAAATATCCACTCTCAAATATAGTAATATACAATTCAGTTTAAGAGAACAATCACTGGCCCAAAAATATTTGCTATCTGACTCCTTACAGAAAGTTTTCCCATCCCTGGTAAAAATGAGCAAACTATATATATTGTTGTCTCTGGGTATCTGAGAATGATTGATCCAGGGTCAAAATCTATGAATGCTCAAGTCCCTTACATAAAATGACATAGTATTTGCATATAACCTATGTATATCTTCCCTTTTATCTCTAATAAAACTTCTATGTAACTTCTATGTAGTTGTTATAGTGGTATAGAGAACAATGAAAAAGAAAAAAAAGGTCATACATGTTCAGTACACATGCATTTATTTTTACAAATACTTTTCATCTGTAGTAAGTTGAATACCTGGATATGTAACTTAGCAACACAGAGGGCCAACTGCACTTAAAATCAGTATTATTGTATACAAATTAAAGTTTATTAAAGTTGATTAATAAAACTCTCTAAAGGGTTTGAACAGCCAGTTTTGGCAAAGACTGATCTAATTCATCCTGCCATTTTCTATATGAGCTACTTTATCCAAAGCCACATAGCTAATTAGTGGCCTTTTTACTCTTAGACATATTTTGAGCTTAAAAAATCTGTGAGACAACTGCTGATTGGTATTCTTCATCTTTATCTTATACCAAAGCGTCTTTATGCTGAACTGAAAGTATTACCTTTAAAAATAACCTCGTTTTCTGCCATTAACTCGTTCAAGAACAACAATTTTTTTTTTTTTTTTGGTACCGGGGAATCGAACTTTGGTCCTTGCGCCTGCGCAGCAGGCGGAAGAACAACAATTTGAACTGATTATAACTACAATACTTTAACATTTTAAGGACTTACCAGGTAATTTTTTCCAAAGACACCCTAGGTATGAATTGTATCCTTTTACGGTGAAATCTAAGCTTGCAACAGATCAAAGTTAATGACTTTTCCAAGGCCCAAGCTGTGGCTAGCACAACTATGAATAGTTTAGGCTAGATAACCACCGCACACTGGATAGCTTAACAGAATTTTATTTTCTTATAATCTTGTAAACAAGAAATCTAAGATCAAGGTGCCAGCAAGTTGGACCTCACAGGTCCCTTCCTCTGTGCATGCATGTTCTCAGTGTCTGTTTCTCTTCTTATAAGCATTCTGGGCTGGTGGGATTGCAGCCCCACCAAAACGCCTCATCTTTACTTAGCTCTTAAAGACCTATCCTTAAATATGATTACATTTTGAGGTACTGGGGTTGGGATCTGTATATATGAATCTGGGGCTGAGGGGACACAATTTAGTCCATAACAAACCTTAGTCGTTCCCTATCAACCTAGCTTCCCACTATCTGTACATGTAGTAGTCTGATAATTACCAAATGCAAATCTAATCATTTTCATCATCTTTGTAATTTGCTAAAAACACTTCGAGGATATTGTATTGTCCTAAACATAGAGAAAAAAATCTTCTAGGGAGTTTTCAATGCTGTTTATGATATGTTCCATACTTAACTCACTAAGTTGTCTCCTAGCCACATCCCTCTTACATTCTAGGCTACAGTGGTGTAGTGTATTCTGCCACTGTACATTTACAACAGACTCTCATAATTAAAATTATTCATGAAAATAACTGTTCTAGACCAGAGGCACCATATGCATAAAAGGTTGTACATCAGCCTTAGGAAGTTTCATCATTCTTTCAGAGGCATCGTTTAGAGAGGTATCCTATACTGAGTTTAACACAGTGAGAAAACCTGATGCAGGCCTTTCCTTGTCAGAGAATAAATTATTACAAACCATGTATTTCAATAAATCTGAAATGAACTTAAATCAAGCTAAAAGAAATTTAGAGTATTCTAAAAAAATTACAATGTAAGGGATATTGATTGATATTATTATAATTCTTATTACCTGTTGAGTTCATCTAGACATAAGCGCAATGTTTCATATGTTGTTAGAGCAATTTCACATTTCCTCTGCATTACACGAATCAATTCATTGTCTTTTTTGTTACCATGTAAAATAGTGACTCTGAAATATCCCCAGGTATCCAATTCATCCTTCCAGTTGTAGAGAACAGAAAGAGGAGCAACTATTAAAAACATCTAAAAAAAGAAAAAAACATTTTTTGATGCTTTTTAAAAATGAAAAGGAACTTCAAAGTGAAATCCAGAAAAATCAACAGTCTTATTTTTAGATGTTGACAGTGTAGCTAATAAGAATAAATACAGGACCGGCGATTTAGCTCAGTGGTTCTGCTACCTGCCTCCCAAGTGCAAGGTCCCTAGTTGGGTCACTGGTACCAAAAAAAAAAAAAAGAAAAGAATAAATACAAATTAGGAACTGACTATATTTGGTGATAGAAGACTTTTAAAAGCTATTTTGTTGCTTCATTAGCTTTTTTAAAGATAGATACTTAATTTTGTCTATAGAAGCAGCTATTGTTTTTCACTTCCAAAAACTACTGAAAGATTGTCTTAGTTACTTTTCTCACTGCTGAGACAAAAAGGTTTCTTTAGCTCAATTTTTAGAGGTTTCAGTCCATAATCAGCTGGCTCAAAGGCAGGGTGACATGGCAGATAGGCATTACAGAGGAGAAACAGTTTATGGTGGGCAGAAGGTAACAAGGTAAGTAAGAGGGGCAAGACAAGCCTCTTTCTGTCCCTTATATTGCATCCAGGCTACTGGGATTAGGGAGGTGCCAAACCAATCAATGGACTGATTTAGTAATCACATACATTAATCCCAGCATCACACACTCTAGATTCAGCCACCTCTGAAAAAGGGCCACCTGAGGCTTTGAGGGGACATCTAGACACAAACCATAACGAACATAAAAGGAACTCTCTAAAGACAGAAAAGAGTAAAGTCAGGTTCCCAATAATAACTTCAAGAGCCAATTCAGTACTGTAAGTATGCAAAACAGCCCAAGTGTTTTTCTTGAAATATATGATCTTCTGGAGCTCTCTTTCTTTTTCATTTTCCATTTCCTTTATCTCTCTCAGATACTCTCAGTTGAAGACATGGAAAATTCACTGGAAAACAAAAGCAACTAGAAGAAAACCCCCATTTTTCTTATTATTATATCAATAGTCAGCCTGTACTTCCTTCCATATATTCTGCCTTCCCATCTGTGACTACTGATCAACTGTTCATGTTCTTCTCTAAAGACAACCATTTTTAAAAAATTTTTATTTTTTTCTTAAATTCTTTTATTGGTACATTTTAGGTATACAACACAATTACATTTCTCATTGGGAACTTGTATCTTTACATGATGCATCTTGGATCTTATTTTATCCCCATTCCCTGTCC